TCAAATGTAGCTAGCCGCAAAGCGACCAAAGTGCGATCAATTGACTTCCTTACCTATTATATTGCCCCATTGCCCCCCCCCCCCCCCCCCCCCCCCCCCCCCCTTAGCCATAAGCTGGCGACGCCCTTGTACGTATATATGTACTTTTGAGTCTATTGATAGAAATACTTTTCATGAAGAAATTCTAAGTCAACACAATTGATGTGTATTAAATAACTTACCTATTTATCGCTGATATAGCATCCAAACAGAAGTTGAACAGAACATTTAAAGTAACGTACGATCAGGTGCTAAATGGATGCTAACAAAAACGTTCCGTTGGTTTCGTCTATAAAGTCTACGTTTTCTATTAAGGGAGTGTTTTTTATATAACGCATGTGCGGGTTACTTGCATTTGTAGTTAAACCGAATAAAAAAAACTGGCCAGGCGCGTGTCTGGCTTCGCTCTCTTAGGGCTCAGTAAAATCATTGTTTGTTTTTTTCACAAAGTACATTATGAATCGGCGTTTCAGTAATTATTGTTAAAATACAAAATATGGGACATTACATGAAAACATAAAGCTCTTGTGTGATGTTCATCATTTCTATAGTTTCCAATGCTACTTTATCGCCATGCCTGACTTTTATTCTAAAATGACCGAAACATGTTTTATTGATTTCAACTTTAAAGCACCCAGAATTCCTCCCTTTAAGAAATTACCACCCATATTAAAATAAGCATCATTATATTACACATTAACGCCATCCCTTAGTGCACACTTCGTCCTTAATTTCGACGTCCATTCTTATCTTAAGGGCATTTAGTAGATATCAACAACTTACAGGACATACACAATAGGTAAATATGTGTTGTATATAGAAACATCACAATATTAAATTGATTTTAATGAACAGTCTAATAACAAGAAAAGTAATCACATATTTATTAGAAAGTACAGTTAACAAGTAAGAACTTATAGAGGATAGATGTTTAATAAAAATTCAATGTACAAAATTGTAAAACTCAAGTGATGTTTAGTGGTTAGTAAGTGAAGAATATGGTAGGAATTTAAATGTTGTTAACATGCGAAGAATAAATCATTTTCCGTTCTGTGCCATAATGGGTAAATTAAAAATATTTTATCTGTCATGCGCTTTGGAGCGTTAATTAATAGAACATTTATTTTCATCTATCAATTTATAAGTAAACCATATTCAGTTAAATTTACCTATGTACAAAGATAAAGAATTGATGTGATAAGTGTTGTAACGCACTCTATAACTTTAAAGATAATGGTCATCAATCTGTAGGGTTTACTTATCATAATAATAATTGTATGTGTATGTACTTACCTAAATATTAAATTGTTTTAAATTATACATATTGTTATATATTTTGTAAATTTAACCGTGTGCGTATTCCTAAATCAATTACATTAATATCACTTGTTATAATAATTTTTCGGCGCAACATTATCTTGACCCGTCTGAATTTAGCCGATTTGTTGCGCTTAACTCAATGGGCCGAACATTTAGTTAATTATCAGTGAAAAACCGAGGTCCCTTTACGGCACATCAAATTACCAAAGTGCTTTACACAGCTTTTCTTCCTAATTGGCAGTTTAAGTATGATTTGGTACCGCGTGACAGGTGGCTCGGTGGCCTTGACTAAAAAAAAGGTGCAGGTGCTTTATATTAATTATTTGCTGATCACTTATTTGTTACTAAAATATGGGCTAAATTAACCAGGGCCTAAACGATATTCCCATGAAATATGATTGGTCAATCTGACCGAGCCTTCCAAATTTTTATTGAAAATAAATATTTGTGTTATTATTGTAAGCAGATCAGTTTAATCGTGAACACAATTAATTGTAATTAGTTATATATGTTCTTACATATTAAATTATTGTAATTTATGTCAGCATACAATTGTTATTATCTTATTTTTAACGTTTCCATAAAATATGAAGTATGACGAATAAAATGTTGGAATCTTATTATTGCAGTTTATTTGATAGATATGTACGTATGTACCTATTTGAATAAACGTTACCAGCAGATTTTGTTTGATATTTTCTGATCCTGATCTAAGTAAGTATATTAAGTTTCTGAAAAGCACTATTATCATGTTTGTTTTAGATTTTTCAAGCCAATAGTTTACCTTTTACTCGGACAAAAATCAGCACTTTCAAGTTTAATATTTCGTAAACGGATTCCTAAATTGAACAATAGTTAATCAAGTCATTTTAAAGGACCTATTCAACAATACCTCACACGATGAGGTAGTCGTTGAAACAAAAACAACCCCACGTTACATGTAGGGGAGCTACCCTAAAAAGTATTTTTTTAAATTTTATTCTACCACTGTGTCGGTATGATTGATATACATACCTACGAAAAAATACAGTTTCTAGTGCCAACAATCTCCAAACAAAACCTCGAACGGAACTAGACAGGTTAAAAAGATACCAAGCAATATTGTAAACAATATTTTTTCTCACATTTTGAGACTTGGCCATCACACTTGATCGGTATGACTAAGGCCCTGTGGCCCGAGCCACACCAAGGTGCGTCTATAAAAAAAAATAACTAGCCAAATGCGAGTAGGAATCGCGAACAAAGGGTTTCGTATCTTAGTATCTACAATATTTAGGTAAACGTAGATCGAACAAAGTCAAAAAAAATGTCGTTTATGGTAAGAAAACCCCACAAAATCATGAAGCGTTTACACGCATTCTGTAAACATTTCAGTTGACTACCTATTTCCATTCAAGAGGTACTGGGTAAAACACTGAGGATGAAACCCTAAAAATCATGTCAGTTATTCAGTTTTAGGTCAAATACTTAGATTTATGTATGAGTAGGTACCACTCAGAAATGTGGGGTGATTGTTCCTGTATAGGAGAAATATTTGAATTAATTAATTTCTTACCTAACTTGAGATAACTATAATAGGTAGTTTACGCTATAAGGTAGATTACTAGTCCATAGATTGATGGTTGGGATATTTTGAAATCTAATTGTTGCAGGTGTTTTAGTATTCGATTTTTTGTATTTTCCCATTATTAGCGAACTACTAGTCTAAACCCTAACCCCTAATTACATTTTACATTTCTTCTCTCTTAAGAGCGGCCTTAAAGGAGATTGCTCAAATTGGCCCAAATGCACAAAAAATATTGACATATACGTTAATTCTTGGCGTCATTTATACTTTGTTTTACAGTCATTAGATTTTAACGGACACTTTTGTATAATATGTATATTCATTTTAAAAAGGACTTTTAATTTTACCGGTTTGGAAAACATACGAATCATTTTTAATGGCTATGGGTGTAGTAACATTCAGCCAATGACTAATCGAAGTTGTTTGTATAACATAAACTTAAATCTATTTTGTAAAGATCGATAAAATAAATCATTTTTTTAATTACACTGTGGTATTAATATCTACAACTATATTAAGATTTTCAATACATGCAAATGTGCTAAGACAATTATTATAGATGGTAGGCGACATCATAAAGTCTATTGCCATACATTTTTCGCCAAACACCTCCTTAAACATATTATAAGGTGTGATACACTAAAAATTTAAAATATGGTTATAATATAAACATAACAAAAATAATGTAGCTACTGAAGATATGGCTGTATAACCTAAATCTCTTAGCTTTCCTTGGTTAACGAGAGTTTAAAAAATCTGTCTAATCTGTGGCTCATTCACAATCATCACACAGTTTCTGTCTTAAAGTACCTTATTCCGGAAATGAATAGATGATAACTGATTTTAAAAGTTACTCTTGTGCATTAACTTTAAAAACAGGCAACTATCTGTTAGTCTACATGCTCTATATACCTCTAACACACAATTCTGGTACTTGGCTTTTGATTTCCGTAGTTTACTATACAGGATGTTACAGAATTCCGAAATAAAATTTGTAGGTATGTATTCCGAAATAAAAATTTGTAGGTATCTGAGCGGGGCGCAGGGGCGCCTGGGGGAGAGAGGGGGGTCTGTTTAGGTAGTAGTAATTATACGCATTTATAGGGTTGTCATAGGTAGGTGTAAAACGATAATTTTATTAATTTAATTAGAAAATAAAAGTCGTCTGAAAGGCGTCAAACTTTCGTAGGTAATTCTATACAAGGAACACAACCAAACCCTAAAGTTTTATTTCGGACTTTTGTCACACCCTGTATAACTTATTTGTTTTTCATTATTTTAAATTTGCAAACATAACCTCAAAATCTTTCAGTGTATATGGTTTATAGAAGTTCTCAGGGGTGTCCGTCAATAATATTCGTTTCTACAGTAATTTATAAATAATTTCGAATCTAGGAAACAATTTTTCATGATTATTGGTCTTTAGGCCAAACATGTATGGAAGCTGAGCAATCTCCTTTAGTCAATGTTTTGTAATAAAAGGGTAAGTTAAAGAGAATTTTAGCACTTTTATGTCAATGCCTTTAACCAGCACATTCAGCCACTCACTTACACATTAAGTTGCATCTATTTAGGTCTTTTCATTTTCTATTCTTCGTAGGACGGATGAATTTGCTTAGGAAATTAGTTCACTAGTTTCAGGTCAGCGAGCAGGCTTTCAGTCACCATCACGCTAAAAGTAGGTAAGTATAGCAGACTTTATTTAATGAGCAACAGGTTGTTGTTGAAAGCTTTATTACAGTTTGAATATGGTTGTGAAAAAAATGTGTTCATATTTGATTACCCTTTCGTTAATTTAATTAATTAGTACCTTTTTTTTATATGCACCCAAAAACCCCGTAACTCTTACGGGCACTTTACGGCATACTATCCGCTAAAAAACCCTGCAAATACCCTCTAAGCTGCTTAGCGCGAAGCCGCGGGATCCCCGTTTAGTGGGGATTCTTCCGCGTCATCGCAACCAGCAGCCTCCCGGCTTAGTCGGGGCTCCACGGCAAGGGTCTCCCGCGGTATTGCGGGGACCCCGCAGACGTGCGCAGGATGGCCCGCGCGTGGGGGCTGAGTACGCGGCCTAATGCCCACCGTACCGCCCCCCGTCCACTGTGGAGGGCTACTTGGGCGTGCCCGTGTAGCTTCCTCCGTCGCCCCCTTCTTTGCAGGACAGAATTACAAGGAGGGGCTGCCGTCACGGAGTCCGTCGGTGGCCGGAACAGCTGACGCCATGCCGGTCAGCGAGGGCCCCCGGGTAGGGTCATGGGACGGGCGCAGCCAGGGCGCGCCGCCGTCCTCTCCTACCCGTCCTCCTAATTTATTAGTACCTGCATACCTTATAGCTAAGTGAGGTGACCTAAGGCCGTATACATAAAGGAAGCCTATTAAAGCAGATCTAGCAAAATGTCGGACTCATCGGACGATGATTTGGTTTTGTTAGAAAATGTGTATTTAAAAATGCGAAAAAAGCTATACATCCTATAAATAGAGATAGGAAATGTTTCGGAGAATACCATCATTTATTTGTAAAAAAATAGAAATTTGATGATCAAAGATTTTATACATATACAAGAATGACTCAAGAAACATTTTGGATTTAGTGAAAAACCGTTTGATGAAAAATTGGTGCAATTGGCATAAACAACCAATCCTACCAGAAGAAAGACTTGTTGTCACCATTCGGTAAGTACGAAACAAATAATTTGAGCGCTTAGTTAATAAAAGATAAAGTTATTAGATTTATAAAAAGATCAAATTATTTATTATTCGGACAACATAGATCAACTGACCAGCTGATCGGCGCTTATCGGCGCTGGTTCATAGAAAAAGGATCGGCGCCGATAAGCGCTTATCGGCGCTGATCGGCTTTCAGCTTTCTTTCTGTATACGGCCTAAGGAATATAGGTAGGATGATGCACATAGGAGACGACTTGTATCGGTACCGCCTCGAGTCTTTCAGTATTCTGGGTGAGGTAGTTGGATCTAAGATGGCTCGGTTCCTTTATTCACAACGAAACGAATAATTTTGATGTACCTAATTAGTTTGTTTGAATAATCATTTCATGAAATTTGTTTGTTTCTATAATGCCAAAAACTGGGCATTACAAGGCGCACCTACCTTATACTTTACTTATAAGCACTACATATACTTCTTTCGAGCGAAAGTGCACCGTTGCACTATTCGGCTGCCAAAAAGCACAGCAAGGCAGCAAGGCCAAACACAATAAGGCCCAACTCAGAAAATATTTTTTTAAGCTCGGTTGCCCAAAACCAAAACAAAGTAAGGCCCAACTCAGAAAAAAAATTTTTTAGCTGTTCTGATTCACCTTTTTACGATCTACAAAATGATCTGGTCCTCGTAGCGCTACGTCGCCTTAAGCCTGAATTATTTTAAGAAGTTTAAACCTAGTAAGATACAAAATAGCACTAAAAACCACATCAAAACACAGTATGTCTCAGAAACTAAATCAAAACACAGTATGAAACATGGGTGTTTCGTAATTTTACTAGGTTTTGATTTTGTTCCTGTGCGTGGCGTGGTGTGCGTGGAAAATCGGTTATTATTTTTACTTTTTCCTCTATAGGCTGAATACGTACGTAGTGACTTTAGAACCACGAAACTCGATTTTTAAATTTTTAATAAAAAACATTTAGCAACATTTACAGTGTGGCCATATTCCTCAAAACGCTGAAAAATTAATTTTAAGTGTGCTAACTGTATTTTCTCGGAGTACTTGTGCATAAAACATCATCTATCTAGTAAAATATCTGGGAGCTTTCTCAATTCGGATACATTATTTGCTCTATGCCTTGTAATACTACGCTACGCTACTACGCTTTGATTGATTTTAACTCTTTATTACACTACGTTTAAATATGCTACAGACAGGCAAAAACACATTTCTGGTCGTCCTATATTTTTTCAAATGTGGCTTACTGTTTTATGATTTTGAGCAGCAGCCGTACTGTCACGCGATTACGCCTCTCTTTACCCACGTTAAAATCTCCGTTCACGCGCTGACATTTCACCTTTACCGGGCTTATGGCTCTCCTTACTCGGCACGCCTTGCAGCAAGGTAATAGACGATACGTTTCAAAGCTGACATTAAGCGCATCAACGTATAGTAAAGTAATAATACAGCTAAGCATAATATGTTAAACATTAGGTACCCATACATTGTAGATAGTATTTATACAAATCCAATATTCATTCATTGTACATTTAAAAAGTAATCTACCTAAATACTTCACATTTTTTACTACTCGCAGAGTACGCATGCAATTTGGGTGTCTTACTACTAGGGATTAAAATAGCCGCTTGCATTGACTAAGTAGCCATAATGTATGGGAGAATCGATTTGATGCGCGCGCCGTTTTGCCAGTCGTTATCGTTGGCCAGCCCATCGCAAATATCGTCAGCTGGCTTGAAAATAAGCAGGTACCTACGCAGTTTATTCCTCATTCGAAGCTTTCATTGCTTCAAATCATTGGTTTTAATTAATTTAACAAAATTAAGTTATGATCCTTGAGTGATTCAATACTTTGTGTTCTAATTATGGTGGTTAAGATGACATCATAATTTGTTGTTAATAATTAAGTTACTAATCATTTCTAATCACATCCAGCGCTTATTAGAAATCCCATTTAAATAACCCAATAATTACCGGCATTCAGGAATCTTTGTTTCTTCAAAGTTTGCATTTTGATGACTTCAATTAAGTCCAAAGAGCTACTAGACATTTTCATATTAGGGAAGTGATATTAGTCATATAGTGTGTTTTTATGTGCTAAATAGCTTATATATCCGTTTTTCAGGCCAATATGCCGGGCGCCAGGCATAAGATCTTGGGGCATGTGCTCTCAGGGTTCTGCCACAAGATGAATCGGCGCAAACCTATACACGGCGATGCATTGGACACTCCACTCAATCGGTGTCTTACTACCATTGATATTACTTTATTGGGCAAGTATTTATTTATGAAATCTGTCTTTATCAAAGTTTACAAAAGAAACGTTAACTATATTTTTTATATTTCTATGGTCACACCATTGAACACGGGTGTCAGGTGTGTACCAGATATAACGTCGTTACGTCATTTCTAAAGAAGGTACAGTCAATTTAAGTTATCCAAAACTGTAAAACTCCAACTGTCTTAAAGCTTTATTTAATTATACTGTGGAAACTTGACGTGTTATCTACTGTACCTACAAGGCAAATAAATTTGTTATATCATTATATTTATCTAATAAATATTTGTATAAAAACAATAGCAGGTGAAAGTACTTGGTTCCAACCAATTTAAAGAAATACGGAACTTTTTATACTACTTTATTGTGTTAAGTTCGGTGACAGATGCTTTATATTTAAGATACAAGTTACTGTGTTATTATAATTATAGGTAGACCGCTTAGCCGAGTCTACGCCTGCACGCTAAAGGATGTGGGGGTCCCGCAGGCGAAGACTCATTTGAGCGGTCTACCTATAGTTGATAGTTTAGTAGTGTCCTTCTGTTATAAATTATTATTATTAAACAAAAACTAGAACAGTTAACAAAAAAATAACTTCCTTAAAACAATACCACAAAAGATATGGTACGGTAGACGAGTCATAAGGATAGGTAATCATTTTTTAATTCATGGATGGAGCCCCACTCCCCAAGCTGTCTGACCATCACTAACCAACGAGAAATGTATAAATGGCGTAAGTGAAAGTTCTTTGTAAATCACAAATATTATTGTATGGTTCAGGTGTTGGACACATGGTCGGGGCCGGAATTTACGTCCTCACTGGCACAGTGGCCCGGCACATGGCTGGTCCAGCTACAGCCTTGAGCTTCCTACTCGCCGGAGTCACGTCCACGCTAGCGGCGCTGTGCTACGCGGAATTTGGCACAAGGATACCGCGAGCCGGCAGCGCTTATGCATACACCTACGTCAGTATTGGGGAGTTCTGGGCGTTCATTATCGGCTGGAATATTGTGTTGGAGTATATGATAGGTAAGTTTAAGAGATAAAATATTTGACTATTAGGCATTTATTAACCAATCTGTAGCATAAATTGTTACTTATTATTTTATTCAATATGTTTTTAAAGTTAAATTAAATATATCGACGACGATGTTCAAATAATATATTCATTCCGGGTCAAAGTGAGTTATCTATGTCATTCGACTTTTTCGAATTCAATTCTACACCGACTAGCAAAATCTCCTAAGCGTCTTTGTAAAAATAGGCGCCACAAATTAAACTGCAAATACTTACAAAGGTCTGGCTTCGAGCATAATGCTGCTGATATTATTCTATCTTGTTAAAACAAATACCTCCTAAGTTACTTTTTCACCAGCTTTGCTCCTATATATCTAAAGCGTCTGAACATAACCGCTACTGTCGGAAAACTGCTTAAAATATAATAAGATATATTATAATAAAGACTACTCCATTATTATTTCATTTCTACAATAACTAGCACTAACTTGTGAACCGCTAGTCTAAATCTAAAATCGATACCAGCATAAATAATTTAGGTCCCATTTATATATAAATTACAGTACTACACATTGTTATAAAGGTATTAATTAAAAAATAAAACGGTTTTTGGTACTTTGGTCGGTTTTTACACCATTTGTAAAATTTGGTTTTTTTAGTTAGGAGGTATTATAACATCGTCGTCGATATCTATATCGGTACTTTTCTTTTTAAAAATCTTTTTTTTTTAAATCGCATCATTTTCTATTACAGGTGCAGCATCAGTCGCCAGAGCGTGGTCGGGATATTTGGACGCCATGTTGGATGGTGCGATCAGTAATGCGACAGTATCAATTACAGGGGAACTACACGAAACCCTGCTTAGTAGATATCCTGATGTGTTAGCGTTTCTCATTTGCATCGTCGCGTCTTTGATACTCGCTGTCGGAGTAAAAACTTCGGCCTATATAAATAACGGCCTTACGATTCTCAATCTTTTGGTAATTTCGTTAGTAATATTTTTAGGCTTTTATTATGCCGATATTGGCAATTGGTCTGCGAAGAATGGCGGTTTTATGCCGTATGGATTCAGTGGGGTGTTGGCTGGAGCTGCTACCTGTTTTTATGCATTCGTTGGGTTTGATAGTATTTCTGCATCTAGTGAAGAGGCAAAAGATCCATCAAGATCTATTCCCATTGCGACAATTCTCTCTATGGCTATTGTTGCGTTTGGTTACATACTCGTGGCAATAGCTTTAACTCTCATGGTACCTTACAAAACCATAAATCCTGAAGCTGCTTTACCGGCAGCTTTGGGAGCAGTACACGCTGATTGGGCAAAATATGCTGTAGCTGTGGGAGCAGTTTGTGGAATGACCACCACTTTGCTCGGATCATTGTTTTCTTTACCTCGATGTTTGTATGCTATGTCTACCGACGGCCTACTCTTCGGGTTTTTAAGTGACGTTAACAACAAGTCCCAAATTCCTATTGCAAATCTCATAATATCTGGTTTTTCATCGGCTTTAATAGCCTTATTGTTCGATTTGGAGAAATTAGTTGAATTCATGTCAATTGGCACATTACTCGCTTATACAATAGTGAGTGCTGCAGTTATTATACTTCGATACAGGCCTGCTCCGACTGTGGAAGACAAAAGTTTTGGTGTACCACAACTAGATTCACCGATGGACCGAGAAGACAGTTCTGCAACCGGTACACCAGCTACAGAAGGATCGTCTTCTTCAGAGGTATATACGCTATTAAAACTAAAACTAACTAATTGACAACCTCCGTGGTCGGGTGGTTTACGGTGGTGTACGCCGGGTTTCATGGTGTCGTTGACTCGAGAGGTCTCGGGTTCGAATCCCGGTGGGGGCAGATGTTTTTGTGATGAATACGAGCATTTGTACTCCAGACATGAATATTTGATATGTATTTCTATATAAATCTAATATATAAAATTCTCGTGTCGCGGTGTTTGTGGTTAAACTCCTCCGAAACGGCTTTCCCGATTCTCATGAAATTTTGTGTGCATATTAGGTAGGTCTGAGAATCGGACAACATCTATTTTTCATCCCCCTAAATGTTAAGGGTAATCCAAGCCTAAATATTTTTTTTCAATTTTAGATTTTTTTTTTTATTTTTTTTATGATACAGCATTAGTAAATACATATAACCCTGAATTTTCAACCCTTTACAATCAACCCCTATTTTACCATCGCAATTTTTATTTTTAATAATTTCTTTTTTTTTCTTAATACAATTTGATCTTCCGCCTTCACCGGTCGATAACCGATCAACGATCAATCGATCAGTTATCCCCGCTAGATGTCTACCTGGGTCACCTCTCATCCAGCAAACATCACGGAGTAGGGATGAGAAGGAAGCCGGTCTTCTGTCTTCCTCAATATGCAGTTTTCGGTCATTTTTTTTGGTTTCATTTGTGTATCGATCGTAGCAGTGACTTATACGTATTATTTTACTCTCATCGTGAATTTATTATTAATTTCCAGTGCAATAATTATTTTTTCACTTTTTATGAATAACTGATAAAGACAGTTTTAACTATTAGCGTTTCGGCTAATAGTTAAAACTGTCTTTACTCGACCGATTTTCGTGAAATTTTATAAGCATATTCAGTAGGTCTGGGAATCGGACAACATCTATTTTTCATCCCCCTAAATGTCAAGGGTGGTCCACACTTAAACAATTTTTTTTGGACCATCATCATACCAAAATACATACACGCCTAAATTTTCACCCTTCTACGACCAACCCCTATTTTTTATGCCGGTACGAAGTTCGCTGGGACAGCTATATAGTAGGTATTTCTATAGATATTCAATATACGGATGGAGACATTGTAATGCTCCATACCTATATAAATAATTATAAAAAAAAGTGGCTTCAGACTTTCTCATTTCAGAACCAATACAATATTAAAAAAAAAGAACAAGCGCAAGACACAATAAAACGTGACGTAAGCAGTATTCGAAAATTTTAAAAAATCGATAATTGAATGCCGTAGAATGAAAACCGAGGTTCCCTAGTAAGCGATGCGTGTGGAACTGAATATTCTTTCATTGAATTTACGTCCTTCAAATTTGTTTGTGTAGCTTTTGTAAAATTGTTTTTTCGTTATATAGTGAAAAGCTCTTCCACTGTTTCCTTTTGTTTATTTGTTGTTAATTTTTCTTTGTATTCTAGATATAAATGCTGATTCATTATATTTACATAGTATTTAATACACCCGTGTGAAGCCGGGACGGGCCGCTAGTATGTTTATATATGTAAAGTATATGTATTCTATGCGTTACCCTAGTATCCCATAACACAAGCTTTACAGTGCTTACTTTGGGGCTAGGCTAATTGGTGTGAGTGTTGGAAACATTTATTTATTTAAAACTATCATAGCTTGCTGTTCCAATAGGATCACGAGAATTCAAAACAATTTTGATTATGTTATTATTGAAGTTTTTTTTAAGTGAAAACTTCTTTAGCACCGTTGTGGTTTGAAACTAGATGAAACCAAAATTTAACAGTATTTGACACAACGTATCCGTAATTTTGTAACTCTCTGCAAGAGACAGATAGCCAGTGACGGTCTTGGGTCGACACCAAATGATCGGTGATTCAATCCTGAGTTCGGCTATTTTTTAATTGTTTTTTTTTCTTTTATTAAGCTATTATTTATTTTTCGAAACAATTTAAGTATAAAATAATTAATTTTGACCTAGTGTTGAATTTTAACACAGGTGTTATCTTTAAAACGTACTTAGTCATGAAGGTCTTTTATGTATTCACTTTTTTGTAGGTTTCACTTCTATCGCATGTGAACAACACATGTCCGTTTATTTTTATTTATTGCTTTAAGATTTATCAACAAATTTCAAATTGCAGATGTTCGAAGCACTTACCGTGGGAAGGTTGCGCCCGCAGTACGCATGGCTAGAGCCGCTAGCCGGAGGTAGATCTCCTGGGTCGGCCGTATCAGGCTGCGTTTACACATTCACAGCTGCTGCTGCTGCGCTATGCGCCCACAATCACTTCCTCGCAGAACCAGCGGGTCTTTGGGCTTTGCTGCCGGATTTCGTCCTCAATTTGATAATCATTGCTTGTGAGTCATAATTGATAATCATTGCATGTGAGTCAGAATCAAATAGGTAGATACTAAGGTCCACTTGCAGCAATTAAATCTCAATATGAGTAAACCTAGATATATCCCATACAATAAAGCTAAATTAACTTTGAGGTTTTGGCAAATTTTCTGCAATGGACTGGAGGCCCACTTGTGGCAATTTTGATAAACCTCGATTTAACATTTTGAAATTGTGTGCGGGTTAAACCTAGTTTTAGTTAAATTAAATTATCTGATGATAACTGAGTAGTACTACGAATAAAAGCATATTATTTATTCTATAGTAAGTAAAGTTTTCATTTACACAACTGTTATAAATCAACAGGTCTGGTGATAATTCATGCTCACCAACAAAGTCCTACACGACTGCCTTTCCGCGTGCCGTGGGTGCCGCTGCTGCCAGCTGTTAGTGTGCTGCTCAACGTCGAGCTCATGGTCAACCTTAATGCACTTACCTGGGCACGATTCGCTATATGGATGACTTTCGGTTAGTTCTTGATTAAGCTTTCGATTACATTGAATCTGCAGCTTTCCAAATGCCAATTGTAATGAAGATTGCCGAGCCAATATAGATTTAGCCCTTATAATAAAGTATTTCATGCTCATCAACAAATTCCTACAACACGACTGCCTTTCCACGAGCAGTGGGTGCCGTTGCTGCCAGCCGCTAGCATGCTCCTCAACGTCGAGCTAATGGTCAACCTTACTGCACTTACCTGGGCACATTTCACTGAATGGATGACTTTCGGTTGGTTCTTAATGATGCTTTCGATTACATTGAATCTGCAGTTCTCTAAAGCACTTTGCAGACGACGGGGCGGGGCGGGTCGGTCAATTTCGCCGCGAATAATAGCACAAAGTGAATCCTATACTTCAAACGCACACAGAGGGCAAAAAGACCGTGCCGCAGGTGCCCGGCGGGCAGTGGCGGCGCGGCATGTCCGCGGCTGCCCGCCGTGGATCATACAAACCAGTTTATATGCAGTAACGCAGACGGCGTTGCGGGGCGGTCAGCTCAGTCCGCGCCACGCGCTTATTAGTGATGGATTATTCGCTAGAACGAACGTCCTAAACTGACCGCCTCTGCCCGTCGCGTCGTGTGCTTTGTGTACGCGGCGCGGGCAGCCGCAGACATCGACGGGCAGACGCGGTCTTTATTGCTTCGCGGACAAAATGCCCGCCCCGCCCCGTCGTCTGCTCAACGCCTAAATGCCAATTTTGAGGAAGAGTGCCGAGCCAAGATACTTTTAGCCCATACAATAGTCTTTCATGATCATCAACAAAGTCCTACACGACCGCCATTTCGCGTGCCGTTGTTGCCGGCCGCTAGCGTGCTCTTAAACGTCGAGCTAATGGTCAACCTTAATAAAGAATGCCGCTCCAAGACAATCTCTTCATCATCAGCCTATTAATGTCCCCACCGCTGGGGCACAGGCCTTCCCTCTGGATGGCATAAGAAGATTAGGCCATGTCCAACCACGCCGGCCCATTGCGGATTGGTGAGTGCAAACGACTGCAGATGCAACGGCTTAACTGCCTTTCGAAGCACGACGGAGCTCGAGATAAAATATGTTTTAGTCACCCATCCAATGACAGGCAATTGCGAATGTTGCTTAACTGCCACGACCGCAGGCCGAATGCGCTATCGAGCTCCTTGATTACATTGCATCTTCAGTTCTCGAAATTCCAATTTAATGAAGAGTGCTTAGCCAAGAAAATGTGTAGTCTCACCTCGCCTTTTGATATTTTCCAGGTTTGCTTCTGTATTTCCTTTACGGGATCCACCACAGTAAGCTCGGGGAGGGTGTCACAGGGTTGTTATCTCGGTCCGGTAGCGGCGGTGGTAATAATGGTGGTTGGGGGGCCGTGGAAAAGACCAGTGCATTGGCCCGCCGGGTAGGCCGCTTAGGCCGCGGAAGCAAAAGCGACGACCGCAAGCCCATTATATGCGACGACGAACACGACAGACGGGAACCGTAAAATATAAGAAGCCAAAGAAAAACGATGGGTTCAAAAGGTAGCTACTCATAAGTTTTTTTTTATCAAATATGAAATGGCCCTCACGTAATTTTGGTGGCTTAGTATCGATATTTGCGTCGTCATTGCAATCTAAACTACATATTATAATGTTTACTTCAATGTTATTATACTTCCACACACGATTTGTATAAAATACTCTCGTATGATTATTGGCGCAAGTATGTTATAATTTTACATAACATTTAGATATTTGTATCCTCTAAATGGAGCGATTTAGAGGTAACATATATGCGTTTAACCAGTTCAAGGGTGTTTTATCAAAACTATTGTCTTTGTTATGCCATTATATTGTTACGTGTCGGGATGGGGTTCCAAATTAAATTAGGTCTCTAGTATTTTCGCGGTTTTGTTTCGAGAGCGTTTGTGACTATCAATATCAAGGTTTTGAATACGTAAATAAAATTCAAAACCTTGATATTAATCAGATATGATAAACGGTAACAATGAGTATCATACGACATACGTAAATCACGTGGTAACAGTTACTCCTAGGGTTTCCAACATGTTGTCTATCAAATATAGTATTTTCGAAGCTGTTACCTCTAAAAATATAGTAGATGGCAAAAAAAAAAGATATACTTATGAGGTTTAAATATTGAATTCATTTTTAAATGAATAAATCTTGCTACTCTGCGCCGTCCTAATATTTTTTTTATTTTTAAGAAAGCTTTTCCTGATAAATAACCTCTTTACGCAAAATATAGTAGCTTCGCATACTATATATTTTTTCTGAAATATAGCATATGATCCCCTAATATAGTAGGATACTATATTATAATATACTTAGTAGGGTTGGCAACCCTAGTTACTCCACCAGTAATTTACTCCGTAATCATGACACTTACAACAATACCGAAATTTCAGGAAATCCCGCTAACAACATAATATATTACTAATGTTAGTTATCATATTTATATTGACAAAAATATTTCTATTTTACATTTTTAGTGTTTTAAATGTCTTAAAAGAACATCGGTATTTATTCCTGTCTTTATATCATATATAATCTATATCTTTGTGAATTTATTTGTAGATATTTTTAATGGACTTATAAAAGGAAGAGGTTCTGTATTCGTCGTGTATGTATGTTTTAATGTTGCTTTTATCTAGTCACGTAATAAGAAATATCGTGAATTTTTACCAAGATTGTAAATGCCACGCTATTACTAATAGTACATATATTGATATGTTATTATCGCAAGATAGGGGTTACTAATATAAAATTGCAATGTTAAGTATGAGATTCTTCAGGAGTCTATTGCTTTTTAGTCGCTCATCTTAAGAAAGTATTGTAATTATCATTTTAAGTTACATCAAATTCTACGATAAAACAATACAAATGTAAATCTAACCAATTTCTGTATGTATTTTGACAGATCTGGTGAGTTGTTTCAGAGTTGGGTCAGATGATATCAGGGCCTTTGGCGGCGCATATTGTCTGTTTTCTATCCCATTTTACCCCATTGAATCTCCATATACAAGTTTATTTACCTAGGCGTTGACTATTGAACGAGTTCTACAGTATGCATTTAGTATGTCTTGGAACTGAGTTGCATTGGATGTTACTTATTTATTACAGTGGTTAATATTATATTAATTTGTTTATTTTGTAATAGGTCTTATAAGGCGGAAAAACATAAGGTTGAAAGATACTATCTAATTATACGTAGGTACACAAAGATGATATTAAGTTTTATATTCTTACGTTTGTAATATAGGCTTAATAAATTGAAACACACAAATCTCTTTAAGAAAAATATATATAATTTTATTCCAACAAAAGTCCACTTAAATAAAATTTAAGTCAATTATCAATATTTCCGAATTTCGGTGATACACTTTGTTGCAATAATAATATGTTTGTCAATAAACAGAAAAAGATTTTTTTTCAATTAAATAGGATGACAGTTATTTATTATCCAACGAATTCTAAAAATATTTTTTAAATCTGTCAGTACTGCAACAATTTCATTTCAATGAAATATGGGTAAAATAGAGGGTCATGTTCATAAATACAAAACTTATTTTAAGTTAATTTTAACAATACCTTGTTAAACAAGGTAAACTTAAGTTTATAATTTTATTATCTGGCTCACCCCAGTAATTAATATAATTTAACTTATTCGATACGGACAAATATTTGAGCACAAACAAATAGATGTGCTGAGTGTTTTTACTAGAACTAGAAAAATTAAGTCCTTCCAAAATGTATTGTGCTAAGTATTTTATTACTAACTACAGATCATAGTGAAGTATAAATGTGTTATTTCCTGCGTTTTGGTTGAGATGTATTTAATTCAAAACTTAATATAATTATATTTGTATTCCATAATCAAGTTGTTATTAAAGCCGGACTATAGAACTGTTATAAAACAAATATTTTAAGTGTTGATGTGTATATAAAGAGTAATGAATATAATATTGCCGTCTCATTTTCTTTAGACACCCTCTCTTTCGTTTCAATAAAATCACATTTTTTATTTGCACTTTTGTAATAAAATGCTAAAACTAAAAAAATATTGTTTGCGATGGTAGCGCACGCAGCACTAAGCACGTAAGGCTGATTATCACAATATCACAAACTTTATTGGACAGTTAATACAGATAAAAATAATCATATCTCACTACACTGACTACTAGGAAATTTCTGCCTGAAGTAAAGAAGTTCGCGCCGTGTTTAGATAACACTTAACTAGATCTGCCTATCTGGAAAAAAGTCGTTATTTAATCGTGGCTGACTCATGGAAGAATTTGCTCTGTACAAAATAAAACGTTATTTACTATATAAAAAAGACGCACAATTCATTGAGAGAATTCGAAAAAATCCTGCAGTAGTGTCTCACTACGCCGCTCAAGGAAATGCGTACCTTTTTGTTTAGTAAATAAAGTTTCATTTTGTTTAGCTATTTTAAAATAGTGCGTCACGTCGCATCTCAGTGGGAATTTACCCCTACAGGAGACCAGAGCTGCAGCCAAATAACACTATTCGAGATGAGTGGCCCGGGAGTCACGTATTTGTAACACATTATCTATTCCCAGATGGACTTTGGGCACTTTGTATACCTACGGCTAAAAGTGGAGGATCTCTTAAATGTTTCAACGGGAATACGATTCAGGTCGGCACAACGGATCGACCGATCTTTGCATCTGTATGTAAAAAGATATATCGAGAAGGTAAACGATTGGGTATCGCCTAACTCTAGCAGCCCTCCAGTTGTTAATTTCTAATCAAATATTATTAATAGAAATTAAGATTGAAATCTGGACACAATAAACACAAAACTAATAAAATGTATTGGCTAGACAAGGGGAAGGAGGAAGTGGCGCAGAGGGGTGGCGGCGCCACAGAGCAAGTGAAGGTTAGGGAGAACCTTCCGAGGCCCAAGGAGGCATGAACATCACTGGTAAGATGTCCAGAAGCGGCCGTCAAAGTCGTCGCCATCACGGGTAGATAGAGAATTGGGTGCATTACAGGAAGGTAAAAATTTCGAGAGCAGTGTAACAAGTGTAGACGTTTTTTTAGGTTTTTAGAGGGCGAGTACACACTAACTTACTAGCTATTATTATAAGATTATTATAGTATACATCTAACTAGTCTATGATACAGTCATTGATTTAACTGTCGCTAGACTGTGCGCCTAATTACCCTATTCTCCTAATAACAGATTCACTCACAACGTAGAGATGGGGCAGTACCCGTCGTTGGGTTGTTTTTTAGCACCTTGAGTGTAGTGTTGGTCTAAAGTCGGGTCTTCAGCAAAAGTTTTTTGAAAATATTCAACAAAAACACATACACAAAACTTTGTTTTTGAAACATGTTCCTCTGCACACACCGTCTACTGCTCACGTGGCTGTCATACATAGAGATACGTTTAAAAACTTCTTTAAACGCCTTAACAGCACATATTCCATGTCAAAAAGTTAACTAACTTAGGTTACAAAAATAATGGGAAAATCAATTACCTACTATTAATACTTGATTTTTATGTTGTGCACTGTCGAAACTGGTAGTTTTATTTCTTTATTATATACAGGGGCTTTTAATTTTTTATTTACTTATTATGGAACCTGACAGCTAAATACCGGACAAAGTTCATAGAACTAATTATCTATTATAATGCTAGCACTATGCACTTCACTTGGCTATTCATATTGGCTGTTTGTCATTTCTATTTGCCTTTGCAACCTGCTGTCATTGTCATTGACAGCAGGTTTTATCGTTCTCTATATAGAGTGAACAGGAGAGACCGTTGTCAAGTATACAAATAGCAAACACGAATAGCCAAGTAAATCGCCGGCATAATATTATAAAAAGGTAAAGTTTGTGACGTTTTAGGGGATAATCTCTGGATCTACTGAACCAATTTGGAAAATTATTTTACCGATAGATAGCCACGATAATTATGAATGTCATAGGTATGTCAAAATTAACCCGAAAAATTAAACGATTTTTACGTGGTAGTCGGATTTGCAAAGCCTTCAAAAAAGTCAGCAACAGCATATGTCTAACTTTTGTACTTTGAATCTAAAGAAAATATAACTAGAAAAAAATCCACGCAGACCAGGCAGCAGACGGTATTCGAACCCTTTTTTTCTAGTTATATTTTCTTTAGATTTAAACATCAAGCAGTCACATGCTTCAAAAAATAATAAAAAAATATACTTTATTATAAATAAGTAATTTTCTATATTTAAAAAAAACAATCGTTAGAACATGTTTAATGGTCATACTAGTGGCCCGCCCCCGCTTCGCTTCGGTGTAGATCTGTAGTGTAGACTATAGTTATTGTTCTCAGGCTTGTATTATACACAATGAATTATTTTATATAATTATAAACCTTCCATGAAAATTTATTTAAATGATACTTTAGGACCCGTTGTACCGAATGCACAATTTTTTGGTTGTGCGCGCTAATTTCTGGGACTAATGGACCGATTTGAAGACATCATTTTGTGTTAGATACTGCATTTACAGAGAAAGGCTTAATGCTATATATAATATTACGCTGCGACCAGTAGGAACGGAGAATCGATGTAAAATGTTGCAAAACGTGTAAAAATATTCCATTTGGGATATTCCGTTGCGTGCGCTCCATATATGATTAAAGTTACACAAAAATCATGTATGACGGAATTATTGCCCTTTAAAAGTTCTATATAAAAGTCCGCGACAGCATCTGCCCATCTTTAAAGTATGACTTACTATATCCTTTTTCCTTATACAATAAAGTCCCAAGCAATATCCAAGAGTTAACCATAAATAAATTTAAAGATAGTGTAAAAAAGCACTTGGTAAAAAAACTTATTACAAAGTGTCTGATTATATAACAGACCAGGGCTTGATTACCGGTTAATTTTCAAACCTAAATCAGTGTCAAGTACATTAGGAGCGCTTTATTTAGGTTTGGCTGTACCTTAACCTTAAAAAACCGGTTTTCCTAAAGAACGAAATCAAATAGGTTTTGAATCAATTTAGCGGTTTTTAAAGGATTTCATTCCACTCTTTCAGACGGCATCGATAATAAATGAATAACTTGACTCACTAGACGCTAGCAATCGTGTCAATAAATGCATCAATCTCTGAGCATTAACAAGTTGTGACTTGATTAGTTCAAACAAAACAAACTTTAAGCCCGTCACAGACGTAGCTATAATATATATTAATATGAATCATAGCAAGACATATTACAACATATTTTCAATATAAATTTTCGAGTGACCGCACACGCAGCTATAATGTATATATCTATGACGTCACCAAAATATGTCGACAGATATATTTAGGCATATTAGTGTATATTTTGAAATATTAATATATATTTTGATATATTTTTATGATACGGAATGTTCCATTTTTCACCGAACGCCTGCCAAAATGTATATTATAGTACAGCTCCTGTCTGTGGTAGTTTGTTTAATATAATATCTCGATATATTAATATATATTATAGCTACGTCAGTGACGGGATATATTTTGGCATATTAGTATATATTTTTAATACGGAATGTTCAACTTTTCACTGAACGCCTGTCCGATCTCCGGCTCCAGTGCGCACGAGCATTTCTCCCCCACCCTCCCTCACCTAAAAAAATACTGTGCAAATTTATTGGATGACAAATCACGATACAAATTAAATTCGCCACAAGTTTTCTTTTGTTTTCTATGCCACTCTACCCAGATGGTTCTATTTTTCGTTCCTGACAAGGCAACATGCATATCAAATTCAGCATCGGAATCATCCTCTGAGGAACTTTCAATTAAATCTAAAAGTAGTGCTCTTGTCGAATTCATTTCGGTAAGATTGATTATAACGTTATTTCAAAATTAAAACATCCTGTGCTAGAAAATAAGCTTTAAAACCGTGCGCTTGCAAAAACGACCGCAGACCGAGTGAGGGCAAAATATATATTATAGTATAGCTCCCGTCTGTGGTGGTTTGCTATAATATATATTTCGATATATTAATATATATCATAGCTACGTCTGCGACGGGCTTTAAGCGATGCCGACACGTGCATGTGTCGCTCTGGATTAAACCGGTTTAAGGTTTTAGGTACCGCTTTCATTTCGGACGCGCTCCGAACGAAACCTTTACTAAAAACCGGTATGAACCTTTATGTTACAGATAAAAATGCTTGGGTTTTTACTGTTCCAAATATACCAACAGGTTTTCTATATTAAATAAATCACAATCGTACTGACGGTATAACAACATAATGATTTGTAAATGTTGTTACATTAGACTTTTAATGTTGTGGAGTTTATTTCGCTCGTTTTTCTCCGCAGCTAAGAAATATGTCCATAACGAGTGGTAGGGAAAAAAATTTTGGACGATTCAAAAGAGTTGTACTATACATCCAATTTGAATAAAGATATATTGATTTCTGATTTCTTAAATTGACACGAACGACAGCGGATCTCAGTGTGTTATAACTGTGATAGTTAGACATGATATCGAGGATTTTTTTGTAGATATTTAAATTTATGTCTTCCATAAAACTTTAGTACATCACTTTGCTCTATTGTCAATGACTTCTGCAGCGTAAGCGATATAGACATTTTTTGGTATTGTTTTCGCACCCTGGGTTACATTAGAGAAGTTTTCATACGGAACCCTAACTTTTTGAAAATACTCTCTAGCCTGTAGCCTGTTCATCAGGGATAATGTTGCATTATAAATGTGGAAGAATTTTTCAAATCAGTCCAGTTTCGGAGCCTATTCAATGCAAACAAACAAACATACAAACAATCAAATCTTTCTTCTTTATAATATTAGTATAGATTATCAACAATAATTAATAACAAAATAAGGAAATTTATCGTCTCAAGTGTTTAAAACAAAAGACTTTCCCCATTTACTGCCTATGATTTGGACGAATGGCTAGAGATAATACGACATAACCACGACCGGCAGCTCCTTACGCTGCGAACGTTGACGAATTGAAATTTTCGAAACGTAATTACTATTGATATTGTTTAAATAAAGAGTTATTTTCAGAATTTATTTTTATTTTATTGTTTCCTAAAAGGTTCTTATCAGAATTACTTTCTGTCTATAAAATAAGACGCTCCCGCTGTTTTAACGCTAGATATTTTAAACTAAGGAACGGATTAATGCAGTTTTTAGAAATAGATACGAGTGATTCAAGATGAAGGTTTATGTATTATAAGCTCGAGAGCAAAAACTATAGTCCACACCGAAGCGAAGCGAGGGCGGATCGCTAGTCTTGTTATAAATCGATAATAGGGATGAGGGATAATGATAGGGTAAAGTAAACTAAATTCTATTTGGTCCGTCAGTTAGATTATCAAAAAGATGGACATTTATTTTTTCTTTGGTCAATCAACCAAAAAATGACAAAGAACAAGCGCGTCAAAGTTTAGGAGTGACGTGACATCATGCGACATTTCAAATCAAAATATCTCTGTAACGTTTTGATTATGTGAAAAAATAAAAGAATATGTGTCCAACACTTTTTGATAATCCACCTGATCTGGATGAAGAGAAAAAAGTTAATCATCCCTATTAGGCTATATCAAGGATATCACGCTAGTTCTTTTATTTTGGTACTAAAGTGAAAATGATGGATATGGGCATTTGATTGAAGATTGACGGTGAAATTTGGATTTGAGTACACATTCAGACTTAAGCTTTAAACTGCTCATCAGCCAACGAAATATTAATCTAATAATAATTTATCTACTAAAATAATATATACATACACAACAACCAATGAAAATCACTATACCCATAAAAATTATATAAAATCTTATTTACATCTAGAAACAAGATAAATCGTATAAATTATTGAAATAAAATGTCAATAGGCACTTAAAACTCACGCCAATAAAGAAATACATCGAAAATCGTAATTACATTCAGCCTCTGAGACGTTTTTCCAGAATTTGTGTAGGTACGGAACGCTACCGGAAAAACGTTGTGTCCCTTTCGCAGAATGTCTAGCAATTTATTTTTCGATTTGTTTCTTTATTGCTACGAGTTTTACCTTTTTACAAGCTTTTATTCAATTTATAATTGTTTGATACATAAATGAGGAATTGTTATCAAGATCATGAAATTGGATATGGAGGTAAAATTATAAAATGCTATCGGTTAAATTTACAATAACAAAATACATAACATACTAAAATAACGAATGATTCCTATCATTTAAAACTAAATAAGACTGAGTCTTAAATCACTTAGGTGTAATTGAACTAAATTTGACTTATTTTTACTTGCCCCTGACATTATGACTTTTTGTCTATCTCTATTATATTTTAACCATGTTACGTTTCAGATTTCACCTAAAACAAAACTGGCATTAAAAAGTATTATTTTGCCTTATAGCTATGAATTATTACCAGTTTTGTTTTGAAACTTAATAATAAAGGTACGTTTTACAAAATTCGATCACAATTTCGCAACATCATTTCGCCGTAAGTGAATACAATTTTTTCCTAGGTTACTTATCTTGAGTAGTTATTTCTTATGTCGGCACTTCAATTGATTATTCGTGTTTGTTATTTATAAACTTGACATCAGTTTGTCCTTATCACGCTCTACAAGGAATGAAAAGGACAGACTGATGTCATGTTTACAAATAGCAAGCACGGATAGCCAAGTTAAATCTCTAGCTTCGCCAATGTCAATGGGAATGGAATGTGATAAATGTCAGCGTTGCCAGATTTTCTTTTTGCCAAGTCGAGATTTAGGAACTTTTTGGGTGAAAAAAAGTGGGATTCTTTCGTCGAAAGCGGGACATAGTAAAAAAAACCTATATAGTCAAAAGTTATTGAATGTTTATTTCATTACACACTGGGCAGGCGGCCAGTCCACTCTTGTCTGTGCCACCCGCCCGTGCTTTCTCAGTACGTTGCACGCACGGTCGAGTTATTCCCGAAAAGCGGGATTGAGCCTGTCCTGCGCGGGACATTAAATTTTGATTTAAAAATCGGGACGTCTGGCAACGCTGGCATGTATGTAAGAAATATCAGTCTTATCTGTTGCGTCCAATCTGCCAGGCGCTGGGAGGTAATCGCTGTAGCCTATTGATGGTCGGCCGACCCCATTGAAGCCACAGGTATCCCACTATTAGGCATAGTACGGTCTCTATGTAGAAACCGTCCATTCGTATCTCGCATGTGCCGTCCGCGCTTTTACATAACTGCAAAAGTGAATTTACGTTAGTAAGGGTACATTTTGAAAAGAAATTCTCCTACATAATATTAATCTGTCAAATAAATCCGTCTCAAAAAGAGCAGTGAATCTCCTATTTTATATCGTATCAAGCGGATATAAGATGATATCTGGCAATTATTGGTCAATTCATACAATTGACCCGAATCAGAATCGTAACAAAGCAAATTAATTCTTATCTCAGTGGTGTAATGCACATATGCCTGCCTAGATAAAAAAAGACGCACAAGGAATATGTTGCGGATCTATGGGTGAATTTGCTATTTTCCTGTTTCTGAATGACGTCTCGATCCTGCACTAGTATGGATTGAACATAAGTTTTTATCTAGGGTTTGAGGATTCAGCCTTAAATGGAATGCAATCAGTTCTATGCTCCAGGTGGAACTTTTACTTCTTAATGTTTTTTAAGCATTTAACTGTCAGATTTATAAATCTTAAGAAAAACTCTAGTAAAAGGGTAAGTAGGGGTGTAAATTGCAGTAATTTATTACTTGCGTCATCTTTTTAATGTAGGTACAAATAGTTACTATGGGCACATGAATCTAATAAAAAAGTCCATTCATGCTTTATAGCTATGAAGTACTTATACCGTATTTTATTACTTTTGCATTATATGCTATTTGCTAGTTTTCATAATCAGTAACAATTTTAAAATAATAAATATTGCAATCAGCTTTATGGCACAGGTCTTTTTTAAAGTATTGTAAAATTAAAGATATATATTTCTATTTCGACAAGCATTGAATGACATTATTTCTTTATTCAAAAATTCTAATGAAATACTCACCTCTGTTTCTTCTACAGAAGAACAGGTGTTGTCATTCAAAGGAGCAGTGCACCGTTTAAATGTGAGATGGTCAATGGCCCATAGAGCGAGTGTGTTGGGCCAATTGGTGCCTAGATTTGATACTGTGTTAAGCAGTGTCATGTATGTCCCTCCTACTGTGGGATCTGATACTTTGGCGTAAAAAGCCATTACCGCTACGAACATGCAGTACAGGCACGTCTGCAATAAAATATAACGTTAATTACTCTTCAACTTTTCATAGTTCAAGCAAGGGCGGATCCAGGGGGGTGGTCATGGGGGTCATGACCCCCCCGTGGGCTGGGTACAGATGGACCAAACCCAGGGGGATTTTATTTAAGTACTTTCAATATTTAATATACCACGACTATATGACCCCCCCCCCCCCCTAGGCCAAAGCTGGCTATATGACCCCCCCCCTGGCGCTAAAGCTGGATCCGCCCTTGAGTTCAAGTTTGCTGTTATAATATTATAGATATTAACGGGATTGTTACCATGTACATTGTTAGCATACAAGATACATGGTAACAATCCCGTTAATATCTATAGTGTTAGTGACCATGAAAGTTTAAAACAATATGCTGTTATAGTAATTTTAAGTAGATAAATAACGGGCACGACTTTGGCATGATTTTCTAAACCTAAAATTAAATTTGAATTAGTTTTAATTCAGTTTTAATTTTAAAGAATCATACGTGAACAAAACCTACTGATATACACATAACTAATATTTTATTTTATTTCCTTATTATTCTTATTTACAATCAGTCTTTGGACTATAAGCAAATTTATTGAGCGCAACCAAACATGACAGGAGTGGTCGGCCAGCGCCCCCACTTCCTTTAAAGAACATTCTTCCTCTTCAGTCTCGAGACGCGGTCAGCTTGCTCAGGCAATTGGCATATAAGAAGATTTGGATGGTTTGAGAGGCGCTCAGTATACCTCGATTTGCACTTGTCTATCTCTTCTGCGACAGTGGGCATGTTCAAGTATTCATGGATTTCGTAATTTTTTGTGAACCATGGTGCATTTACTATTGTTCTGAGGATATTATTTTGAACTCGTTGCAGACAAGTAATGTTACTTTTGCAAGCAGTGCTCCACAACTGTATCCCATAACCCCAAACTAGCTTAATAATAGTATTGTATATGAGAAGCTTGATGTCAATTGACAGGGCAGAGTTGTGGTTCATAAGCCAATGAAGGTTTCTATATTTTATATTGACCTCATCTCTCTTTTTCTTTATGTGCTGCTTCCAGGTGAGTCTCCTATCCAAGTGGATGCCTAGATACTTGACACAATCTGAGTGTGGGAGTGTGTCCGACCCAAGGTGAAAAGTTTACCTTCCTTAGTGCAAACATAATGTGGTTTGATTTTTGGCCACTGACTCGAATACGCCATTTTTCAGGCATGCGTGAGTTCGATCTAATAGGTTCTGTAGCTTTGCACTAGCTGTGTCAGGATCTTCATCGCAGGCAAGGTACGCAATGTCATCAGCGTATGTAGCAAACTACAGCGTCACCAGCAGTGGGAAGGTCGTACGTGAATATGTTATACAGGACCGGACCAAGTACCGATCCTTGCGGGACTCCAGCCTCTAGAGCTTGCAAGGAAGATCGTGAGTCACCGACCTTAACCCTGAAATATCTTTGTGACAGGTACGATGCAATTATGAGGTAAACCGAGTGTGGCAGATTCTTTTTGACCTTGTACCAAATCTTGTCAAACGCCTGTTGCACATCTAAGAAAGACGCTGAGCAGTATTCTTTTCTCTCATAGCAATTTCTCACTGTGTCATATACACGATGCATTTGTTCTATGGTGGAGTGGGATTTTGTAAAACCAAATTGATGTGTGGGGATGAGGTCACATTTATCAATGTAAAATTTAAGGCAGGTAAGGAATATCTTTTTCCACAATTTAGAGAGCGTAGGCGTCAAGCTAATGGGTCTGTGGGATGTAGGCTCATGTAAAGGTTTTCCTGGTTTGTGTATCATGATGACTTAAGACATCTTCCATATGGCTGGGAAACAAGACGTCCTAAATATGGCGTTAAACAGACATGCCAGGAAGGTGATACATTTTCTAGGAAGTTCTTTTAAAACCCGTGTTGAAATGAGGTCGAAACCAGGCGCCTTTTTCGAATCGATTAATTAAATTATCTTGCAATTTCTTTTGGTGAGGCAGGTGTCAGAGGCAGGCATAGCTGGAGATCTTGACCAAGCACCGTTTCAATCACAGTTTCAAATTTCTCTGCGTTTGTTTTTGCTCAGGAAGTAGAAGATCTAATGGGCGGAGTGCATTGCTTTGGTTTGCCAACGATCCTCGTGTTCTATTAGAGAGAATATTCGCCTTTACCATGTGGTGACATACTTTCCAATTTTTGTTTGATATTGGCATTCCTAGTTGTCTTTAGAACTAACTTTAGGTCTTTTCAGCGCGGTTAAACACCTTTTTATCGACCTCTCTTCTAGTTTGGGGGCAAATGGCGCTTTTATAAAATTTTCTTTTTTATTTCAGAAGAAACTATTACGTTTTGATTGGGCCTGCTCAACATACGGAGTACTTTTCCAAGCAGCAGTCTGAATCACATTTGTGACATGCACACAAGCAGCATCCACATCTTCTTGGGATTTAATTGGCATCCTAGAGTCAAGATTGGTATCTATATAAGAACGAAAGCATTCTCAGGCGGTCTTATCATTGGTTAAAGTTTCAGACTGTTTTTCAGACATGATGACAGCTGAGCTCAATGTTAATATTACCGGGGTATGATCAGAGCTCCCATCTTAGCTAGATCCCACGCAGGTATACTCATATAACTGATTTATGTTTTCAGTGACGAACAAGTCGAGGAGATCTGGAAGTCTACATTTGTCTGCTGGCGATTAGCTGGGTTCTCCAGTAGATATTGGCATTAGGTGAAGAGCACATAGGCTGTTTCTCAGTTCACGTCCTCTCGGTAGAGCTATACGAGATCCCCAGAATGTATGCATGGCGTTCCAATCACATGTGCATTATTAAACATTTATTATGTGTTGCCAAGAGTTTCGAAACATGCCTCGTACATTTCTTGTGTGATCTTATGCTTCGGGCGACTGTATACAGCGGATACAATAAATGAACCCGTTCGGTCCTCTACACACAGAGGTAGCCTGAATGTGGTTTGTTGAGTATCCCTCCAAAGGTAAGTGTTTAATGTTCGATTGAATGACTAGCGCCGTTTCAGCATGAGCTTAGCCATCGGGGTGCGGCGTGAATTATATTTTGTAGCTTTTCATCTGGAAGTTACTTTTAGTAACTGCATGAGATTCCGATATTAGGGCCACGTCTAGTTGATTAATGGACATCATGTTTTCCAGTTCGCAAATGTCCGGAGACAGCTCATTGATGTTTCAGATAGCAATGCGAATATTTAGGAATTTGGTTGAAGCATAGAGATCAGAGTTGTCAATAGGTTCATTAATGTTCCTATTTGTTGAATGAGTAGATGAAGTTTTTCTCCTTGCTTGATCATTATTTGCTCCATTGTAGAGTCCTGCTGCTTACTCTCACTGTCATTACTTAGATGTTTGATCGATTTGACATTTGTTACTTCCGCGTAAGTCCTCCTAGCTTTCGTATTTTCCTCGAAGCTTTTAACGTTACTTAACGTTGTCTTTCTGTTAGGTTCTGTGATTGGGTTTGTGTTGATTTTGTTGGCAGTTTTTCTAGAGAGGATTTCTTTATAGACCTGACATCTTTTATAGTTTGCTGGGTTGTTGAGAGAACACAGTGCACACTTAGCTGGAATATTTCTGTCTTTTTTAGGACAATCGCTAGTTTTATGTCCTTCGCCGCACTTAACACATCTATAGAGCCTCAAGCAGTTGTTTTTTTGAGTGCCCATACTGTTGGCATCTTTGGCACTGGACTATAGTTTTAGACCTTCGAGGTTCCTCTATTTTAAAATGTTGGTGATAAATGTGCTGTATTGCTTTCAACTCTTTGTTTTGCTCACAGGGTGCAACGTTGACGAAGAAAGTGGAAGTAGGATTTTTCTCTGCCCCATACCAACAGTTTATGACTTCTCCAACAACTTTATTGATCGTCATCTCTATTACTTCTACGATCGCTTCATGAGGAGTAGTATGATGAAGGTTTTTAATGACTATGCAATAGCATTTTTTGTCTTTTCTAGTAAAAGTGTGTCCTATTAGTCCTCTTTGTCTTACAAGCTCTATAACTTTTTTATAATTTTCAACTGTGACAATCATAACTCGCATCAGGTTTCCGTTTATAATCTTAATAAATAAATATAACACAGCATAAAGCATTGCTCTAATCACAGTAGTGTTTTAAAAATTTTAAACTTCTAACATATCACATGTTTGTGATGCCAGGCCTGTGTCAAAATGGAAACTAACTGTTGGACTCAGCCAGGGTCAAACAAGAGACCTCAAAGATAATGAGATCATGAAAAGCAGTGAATAAGCGACTTGACCAAAAGTGTATAAACAAAAAATATATTCTGTGTGACTTACCTGATGGAATACATACAATGACATGAGGATGAAGAGGTAAGAGTAAGAAGGTCCAGAGTCTCCGAGTAGACTTGGTGTTAAAGCCACCAACAAGGCGACTAATGGTCCTACTAGTAATCTCAATGGAAATGCTTTTAGCCACAATGTGAAAGGAGCAGGCCCAGTTGTGTGTTTGGCTAGTATCTGCAAAACACAACATAATAATTATGATAATATATTTAAAATATATAAAAGCATTGATTTTAAAGGCATTCTCTACTTTACCACTGGCATTATGATTTGCACTGGCACTAATGGCACTGCAAGTAATGCCAAATCTTCTCGCGGCACTCCAGCTTCAACAAGTTTTAATCCTGAGACGGCATCACTGGCACAAAATCCCAACTGCAAAGGAAATAATTTTTAAACTTTAAATAATTTATTATTTCATTACTTTACAAACTCCTTTATTGAATGAAGTAATATTTTGTTAGAAATAACTGAACTGTTAACTATAATAATGATAAAACACAAACCTTTGCAGTAAATAATACAAGAGCTAAAGTCTGTACTGCTGGCAGTTTCACAATAGTATACAATTGTTTGTATGCATTTACAATGTCTTTCATATTTTTGGGTTGGTTTTGTCTATTGTTTGTAGTATCCTCATTGGCTTCGTGTTTGAATATAGCTATTAGAGTAGTTGTTGCGATAAATATCCATCCCCAAAATAAGAGGAAACTAGCGAGCGTGACCATGCCTGTGTCTTCAGGGGCAGAACGAAGATATTTGTTGCAAAAGTATGGCGACTCAAGTGCCAAGAATAAAACATAACCCAAAAAGTAGCCTGCTGTCTGTCCAACCGTGTTGCATGTAGATGCATGTCCTACATTACACCTAAAACAAGAGTTAAAAACTTAAAAGGTAAAAGTTTAGAAATAAGCTTCCTCGTTAGGCGTTTGCGGAGGGGGCAGGGGGAGAGCCCCCTATTCAACCCCCGTCTGCCAGAGCTTAGTAGTTATTTCAGGAAAAAAAATTTTTAAACATAGCCTCAAAATAATATATGCATAAAAAGCAAGAGAGAGATGACATGTTAGGTTAGGGCTTAGGGGAAAACGGTAGTGGAGAGTGCACAAACACCACAAAAGCTTTTTTTTTTTAATAAAAAAAATACAACTAAATTTAAGGTTCATACTTGCAATTGTTTTGTAAAATCTAACCTATCAAGTGACCTACAGAACTAAGGCCAGTAAAACTGTACTTCCAAGGCCCAAGAGGTATTACTCGAACTGTATTTGTAGAAAAGGTCTCTTAAAAAAACAAATTTCTGGTGCTTCGCCGGCTGCTACCGCGGCACTTACTTAACCTAACCTAGTGTGAAGTATCACCTCTTGGGCCCTGGAAGTACAGTTTAGCCCTAAGGCCAACTACAAAGCCCCTCCGCCCTTGCGTAACAAACCACAGGCACTCCATGCTCACCTACGCAGCTACGGCCCAGGTTGTGGATCCAGAATTCTAGACATCGAAGCCATATCAAAAACGTTCAGTGTCCAAATTCGTAGCCAAAGTGAGTCGTAATGCAATCTCGAATCCAGGGGGCACGCCAAGATCAGTGAAAAGTGTCAAAATCACACAAAACGAAGCAGAGAACATTCACGGAAACCGAAATGTTTTGTTTCACATTGTTCTGATTACTCTTTGCATGTTGTTTTACTTTTCTTCTCACTACATGCATTTTGTTTCGCTCAAAAAATATGTGTAAAAAGAACCTCTTCGGCAACTAAAATTGATGTCAGGAGTTTCAGTAAAACCTCCTTAGCCCCCACAGCGTCAGTTTTCCCAGAACGAGGAAGCTTATTTCTAAACCCAACCCACTTAATACTCCTTATTTATTTCAATTATAATAAGTACTTTATATTTTAAAACATACCTTTTTAACATAGTAAGAGCCCAACCATCTACAGCAATATCTTGAGTTGCAGCCAAAAAGTTAAGAAACATGAATGACGAAGTTAACAACATCATGGATGGAGTGTCAGTCTCTGAACCAAGCCACCCTGTGACATTACTAGACATAATTATCATGACCAATCCAATTAAGTACTGCACAGGCACAAGCCATGTCTTACGCCTTCCGAAATTTGGCCAGTAAAAAGCATCAACTACTGGTGCCCATAACAATTTTAGACTAAAGGGCCAGTATACCAAACTGAATTCAGCCTGAAATAATAATTAAAATTTACAAATAAATATATTTAATGTATGAACACACAAGAATAATTTAAAAAAATATCCTTTAATTATATACAACGAACACATTCTTTTAAAACCAGTTTTAATGTGTTTTATTGGTTACTTCATTCAACTATATGAATTGAAAATTCTCACCTGTTGCGTGTATGTTATTCCACGGTTTTGTAAAAGCATAGGGACTGCCGCTGCCAATCCGAGCGGTATGCCCTGAAGGGTATATAAAAATAGCAAAACCGCAATATTAACTTCATCACCTTTTATATTACTTGAACCAATTTCTGCCAAAGTGTCGCCGTTTTCGAGAAGTTCTTCTTTCTCTGGCGAATTTTTCCGTTTAGTGATTGGCATAATCGTGGAAAATAATGCCTAAAACACAATAATTTTACTAAGCCAGCCAACACATTTAATACACGTCAGTAAAGCGGCACGAATTTATGTAGTCAATTTACGAACCTTAATTTTGGTATTTATGAAAGAATATGTTGTCTAAATCACTTGTAGGAATGGTATAAACATCCAGGAAACAAATAATTATTCTCTGATAAGTCGCATCCACAGTACCTACAATAGTTTTACAATAAATTAACTATAATAAAATTCGACTATGAAGCAACCAACGTAACAACGTAAGATTGAAAACACAGAATAAAAGACATTACGTACGTGACAACTGACAACCATCTGACAACTGAAAATATAGGCTTGTTGAAAATATATCGGTATATCGATATTTTTTGTTCAATATATCAATATTTGTTTGCCGATATATTTTGAATCGATATATCGATACATCGATACAAAATAACCAATATCGAAATTCGTATCAAAAACGATATTTTTTTAATTATTAGCGGCATATCACGAACTAAATTCGTATGTGGAAAAATCGTAACTGGATCTCAGATTAATGATATTCAACATATCTATGATCTATGTTGTATTATTATTGTCTATGATTTGTTAATCTGTTTCGCTGGTGAATTGGTTGTGCTGAATTCCTTTATATTCTGTGGAAGTGTGTGACTTCCTAGCCTTGTTTCCGAAAGATGGCACCTGAGAGGCCCTGCAAGAATTTTCATCATTCGAAAATAGGATATATTTTTAGGGTGATAATTTTCGTTCCATTATTAGTCCGCGTGTCATCTTTCGTGAGATACTGTACTGTCATGTAGTGTAGCGGCAATTTGGTACTTTGATAGATAGATAGATAGATAAATTCTTTATCAACAATAATCAACAATAACATAATTTGGGCAAAGGCGGCCTTATCGCATTAAGCGATCTCTTCCAGCCAACCTTTGCGGTAAAGGATAAGTAAATGAAGAGGAAGTTACAGTATCCCAGCAAGATAAAATAAAGAAATGTACATATTTTCTTGTTACGATGTTTTTTTCGCGATATATCGAAGCCGATATTGATATTTTTTAAAATATCGATTTATTGATATTTTTTTTTAATTTTCGACATCCCTATAAAAATACTGAAATCCACAATGACATATGACAAATCGTGGGTTGCGTTCCATGCGATGATTAATTCTCCTCGAAATAAAATACCTAGAAAATACCACATAGGTATCGATTCTAGCATGATTCTCTAAACCTAAACTTAAATTTGACCACAGTGGTGTCGGTTCTAGCATGATTCTCTAAACCTAAACTTAAATTTGACAGCAGTATATCCTTGTCATTCTCTATACAGAATGAAAAGGAGAGACTGATGTTAAATTTAGTTTTAAGTTTAGAGAATCACGCCAGAATTGGTACCGTCTCCTTGTCATTCTCTATACAGAGTGAATAGGAGAGACTGATGTTAAATTTAGCTTTAAGTTTATAGAATAATGCTGGAATCGACACCACAATGTAAGTAAAGATGAACAGAATCATTATCAGTGTTTTAGTTACATATTGAATAGAATATATGTAGTTGATACTTTGGCTACAAAAATTAGATATAAACTTGCGATTTGCCAATAATTAACGATATCATTTTATAATATAATAATTAAATTAAAAATGGGGATAAATTTAAATTCAAACAACTTACAATTAAGAGCGAACACGAGTTGAGACACATTTGAGAAATAGTAAATTGGTATAATATGTTCACCAGTCGTGGTTAACATACCACGTATTCGTGAAGTTATATAATGAATGATATTTCATGCATTACTGGACTTATTGATTTTTTTCATCATTTATCCTCAGACCAAGAAAACTTGGTCTCAGCATTTATCATAATGATTGAGAAGACGAACACGAAGCATTTTAGGTTGCCAGACACTAAGGACCATAGAGTATACTAGTATATGGTAAGGACACAGAGAGAGTCAGGGAGGATAGCATCCTTAAAAAAATATTTAATTTAAAAATACAGATACAGTGGTGTCAGTTCTGACACGATTCTCTAAACCTAAACTTAAACTTGACAACAGTGTATCCTTGTCATTCTCTATACGGAATGAAAAGGAGAGATTGATGTTAAATTTAGTTTTAAGTATAGAGAATCACGCCAGAATCGACACCAGTAGCAGTACCGCTGTAGACTGACAGTAGCAAAATCACATGGCAGTACTGATTATAGATAAATAAACTTTCCCTGATACTTTGTAATTAACCGACTTAAAAAGAAGGAGGTTCTTCATTTAAAACAACGGCGATTTTTTAAATACATAATTGTTTTCATTATTTTTAATGGAGGGTCTTATACAAGTGATACGTCATTTTCTAGGGCTCGTTGAGTAGGATATGGATATTGTTAAGTATCGGGATGGGGTTCGAAATTATAATGTCAGTTTACACTTGGCAGTTCTACTCAACTGTCCCTGCCCGGAGCCAAGCGCCCTTAGAAAAGGGTAGCCGTAAAAGTTGTCATTTTCAAACAATTTTTGCTACGTGGTGTATCTAAAAATCGAAACTAGTTAAGAATGTGAAAGTTTGGTTTGTGCCATAAACACACCACATACCAAAACTTCAATTTCAAAATCTGTATTTAAACAACAAATACTGAAAACGCTGATTCTGATATGATTCTAATACTGAAAAACAAACTAATGATTTTTACTTTCGCGGCATATTGCGAACTGTGATGTGGATATCGCTATCACAACTCGGAAACAAAACTATTTCATAACTCAGTGGCTCAGACCCACAGACATATAACTAGTAGCAGACGGAATATTCAGTTTTAAACAGCGTGGCAAATACACACACATTGAAACTCACCAAAGCATGGGCCACATTTAGTATTGTAGTTATTTCATGAAATACCTATCCGAATAGATAAGTCCTAATGTGATGTCCATGCTAATAATATTATAAATGTAAAAATCTGTCTGTTTAATATCTTCATGGCGAATTTAGCCAGGCGAAATCGCTGAACCGATAATGATGAAATTTAGCACGGAGATAAAATTAACACAGGGAAAGGACATAGGTACAATTAGGAAAATTGAAATAAAAGTTTAAGGCATAGTTTTTATCTATTTATTTTGAAATAATACAAGTTTTTTTAGAAAATTTCTTTGAGATACATTTGTTTCTTTACATTGATGTTTACATCTAAGATCAAAATAAAATTTGACAACAACTTTAATAAACAAGTGGACATGGTTTATGTCATGATCTGGATTGTTCGAGTCAAATAGTGAATAATCGACATAATCACATTTAATCAAACTATTAAAATCATTACTTTTGTTTATTTTAGAACAAAAAACACTTAAAACACTATAAGTATTTGGTTGCCAATCCTGACGTTTCATATATTTTAACCATGCATTCCGAGTACTTTCATCCTTTGGAAACCTAGAACAAAATTGTTTATGTGGTTATTTGGGTTATATACCTACCGATGCCAATGTTCCAAGAAATATGAATAGCTAGTCAGTAATAGGTACCTATCTATTTACGTTCTTGATTGCATTCACATTCAAAATACAATGCAATGCAAACAAAATTAACGCCGAGAAACTTTTTGTCTTTGATACCGAGTCCGTCCTCTGTTATGGCAATAGTACTTCAGTTGTCAGAATTGGAATTTCCTATCATGATTTATCCTGATTACTTCCATTTCTTTACTTTTAGGATATTAGTTTTGACCGATAGTATCTTAGATAAATAATCCTACGTAAAAAATGTTACATGTTACGATAATATTTAAATAAGCTTCGAAAAGACTCAAAGACATTTCAGTACACAACAAAGACACATAAAAACTTACGGATGAAACGTTAATCCTGGTGTTCTATTGTAGCTAGCACTTTCACATCGATACGCACTGTACTTGACCATAGTAATTGAATAATCTCGTTTTGTAATACAGTTTCATCAAAGCAATATTCTTAATAAACACCGAAAAGTCGCATGTCCGATAAGTCATGAATAAAATGGCGGCGAGGAATAAAAATTAGAGATGTAACGACTCGACTTTTCAAACCGGTTTGAGCATAGACCGAGTTGCATCGGTTACCGTCTTCGTAAACCGGTTTGACATTTTAATTGTAAACTAGTTTTTAATTTTTCAATTACCTTTTAATATATGCACGTTATAATATCAAAAAAATATGTAGAATTAAAAAAAAATACACCTGTTGTTTCGTAAGTTTCATTCGTCAACGTGTCAAACGGTTCAAACCGCGGTTTACTGAAAATTTGGCGGTTCGGTTCGAAAACCGATTTGCATGTATTGCTAACCGATTCAATCCGGTTTGTCAAAATTCAAGACCGTTACATCGCTAATAAAAATGACACGCGTTGACATTTGTTGATGTGTGAGTCATTGTTGCAATAGATGGAAGAATAAGATGCCACTATCGAGTTGTAGCTGAGTGTAAAAAGGATAAAAGATCATGTTTTGATTCATAAATATAACTAGGTTTTATGTTACGTCTGCTATAGTATTATATGTCTGTGCTCAGACCAAATAAAAAGTATAGACGGAGTCTGCCGAACCAAAAAGTGAAGCCGATAAAACTACGCCTCGCCGTGTACATACACAGTTACACGCACACACATGCAACGAAACTACGCCTTGGCTTCTCAGTCGAGCTATCCCGACGCGCGGAGTGTGACGTATTAATAAATAACAATATTTATTAGAGAAAATGCCGAATTGTGTAGTGAAAACGTGTAAAAACCAATCTTCCAAGAATAAAAAACAGGATGGAATCACATTTCATACGTAAGTAAAGTTGATTAACTGCTATTTTCAATTAATCAAAATCAAATTTGAGGTTGTCGCTTTGTAAACAAAACCTGAACGAAATGTTGCCATGATTATTCGTTACAGTTTTACCCTTTTGTTGGGTAGCGTGAAATATAACGTAACGTTATTTTATTATATACATTGTGTGGCATACTTTTATATTATTCGAATATTGTAATGCATGGATAAACAATTACACGAAACATCTTTTTTCTTTATGTATTCGTATAAATTTTTTGGGATGTAATACACATTATTTAATATACGTTCTTTTTAAGATTTCCTAATCGAGATCAAGATCTAAAAAAGAAGTGGATTGCAGTCATTCGTAAGAGTAGAAATGCACCATTGTGGCAACCAGCTTCCCGCAGCGTGGTTTGTTCGACTCATTTTCAGAGCGACGATTTGTAAAATAATAATATATTTGTAATTTTATTTGTATTGTAC